GTCATCTTCTGCTTTATCGTCCTCTGACAAATTAAGTCACACAATTAATACATACAAGTATAGCAGTAATGTCAGACCTCTAGGTTATGCTGTATAGATAATTCAAGTTTACCTTCTTCCTTTAGCTGGTTTAGGTACAGTTTGGCTAATCTAAGCTTCTTCTCCTGTGGTGTTTCATCATAATCATCCCTTTCAATGGTCTGTCTTTTCCTGGCCACTATAGGACTGAGGAACAAGAAACAAAAGCAAAACACCTGGGTTAGTGATGTGCTTCAAATGTTGAACGATCTACTGGTCATATCCATACCATAACCCAAACAAATACATCGGAAAATTACCTCTCTGTCTCAGAGTCGCTGGAAATCTCTTCGTTGTGTTTGGAGATGAGTTTCTTGGCTCTTGGTTTTCCCTTTCCTCCTGGGTCTCCATCACCCTGCAGCACAACAAGAAAATATAGGGTTTGTAATGACATACAAGGATGTTGCATTCGTGACTGGGTAGACACAGCAGGTTATTATAGTGAAAACACATGTGTCAACCTGTGGTTAGCTAACGTTACTGGGATTTAGCTTAGTAGCTAGGTCCGGCGAACTTACCTTTCGTTTTAGCACTGTTGCAGGTTTCCCCTTTTTGGCAAATTTGGGGTTTACTTTTGCCTTTATAAAGAAAGGCGAAGACATGGTGAAACGCGATTAAGTAATTGATAAATGTAGATAGAGCTAGCTCCTTAACTTTCTAAAGCAGCACGTCAACACCAAACCCACATGGGTACAGTGCAGTGCAACCAAACCAGGAAGCTGACGTCACGTTGGAAGACAGCTGCTGATTGGCTGGTCTTCACAGTTCCTCCTACACGTCCCGCCTTTGTTCAAACGCTGGATTTTCATTGGGTGAAATAGGATTTTAAGTCAGCAGGAAACTGTACTGGGGTAAAATACTTCCCTCGGGGAATGAGTTTACGCATCTTAGTTCCGCACATAATTGTAAAAATATATATTGCTCATGACAGCAATCGTATACACACGTGTACCATACACAGTAAAATAGAAATACAGGAGCGGTATTTCACTGATATTTAACCGGAAACATTTAGCGCCGCTGTTGAATAAAAATAGTCGTATTTGTATCAGGATCTAATAACAGTAGTACTGCAGTAGTACTACTACCGGTACTTCCTCTACTACGCAGTATTTGCATGTACTTCGCTGCTATCCTTCCTGAGTGTGTGGTTACAGTTTTCCGTGAAGTATAGCTGAACGGCCAGGTGAGCCTCCTCTCTCGGAACCGCGTAACATTGAATATTACATGTATTTGAGAATGTATTTTTGAAAGACAGTTTTATCACTCAGTGGCTCCAGCTGGAGGCAATCTGGAAGAAGCTAGTAGGAGGGGTTGAGGAAGCAGGAGGAGGGGGGGGGATGCGATCTGAACTAACTTTTCATTTCTGTCTCGATTGACTCACTGTAAAGAGATAAACAACGACTGAAAAAGTTTCATTCAAAGTTTTACTGCAGCGTGTGCAAAAATACCGTGCCATACTTGATGTGTCAAATAATTAAATCTTTTGTCTACCCAGATATTTATTTCCACCCCCATGCCACCCAAAAGAGACGCAGGAGCGACTCCATCACAACCCCCAGCAAAGATGATAAAAATCGGCCCTGATGCTCAGGGGTTTGGCTGTGAAACAGTAGAGGATAAGTACAGGTTGGCGGAGGAGTCCAGCTACTCCCCCTTTCCCAACAACGAGGTGAGAGATGCTATTTGTTGTGAAATTGTGCATGAAACAACTGTTGTTTGCCTCACTACACTTGGAGTTATTCATGTGTTTTTTTTTCTTTCTCATTTGGCAGCATGAAAACATTGAATTTGAGGAAGAAAATATTGCAAGCCCAGGCATCAGAACAGACACCGTCAGCCTCCTCATGAAAATAGAGCAACTGCAGGCACAACTCAAGTATGAACGCAGATGTAGAATTTTGGCCGAGAGAGAGCTGAGGGAGCTCAAAGGTGGGTGGAAAAGTATTACTATTAATTAATACATACATTATGGTTGATTTTGATATTTTTTAGAACAAAACAATTGGGGAAAATAATAGTTAATTTACACTTAATGCTTTGTTTTTGGTGTTTGTTATTTTTAATGTATTTCAAAGAAGGCCCCTGTAAAGAACAATTTAATTTGGAACAAAATAATAAGAAAATAAATTATTGTTAATGTTATCGTTACACTTCTAGTTTCAATTAATTGCTAGTGTAACCTATAGAGTATTTTAGTCAGTGTACAGCAGATCCTGCAAAAGTGTAATATCTTTTTACAGGCAAGCACAACATTTTTGAGAATTAAGTTTCCAGCAATTACATGAACATTTATTACAATGTCTATGTGTGATAAATTGAACATTTCATCCAATGAAATTATTATTTGCTTTGCTTTTTTAGGAAACATTATCAAAAATTCAGAACTGTATAAGTGCTATTTAATAGAATCTAAATAATGTGTTTTTTTAATAAACATAGAAGGCATTCAAACCACAATGTAGGGAGATAAGATATGATCATTTAAATAGAAAATAATAATTTGTTTTTATAGATACTTTATCAAGTTTGGCTTTTTGCATGTCAGAAGTTTTTGACTGCTGCTAAAATCCTGAGCCAATACTGAAAACAAACCTGCCAGCTAATGCTAATTACCCCGTGAAAAAAAACTTACTTTGTTTCAGCTTTTCTAAAGTGGTCTGACACCTTTTGCAGAGATGAACACTCTCATGATGCAGATGAGGCACACCGCTCATGAACTGCGAGTCACTCTGGATCATGTGATCCAAGGAGGCGAGGCAGCAGCAGGATCCCACAACTCTCATGATGAAACCGTCTCTTTCCTGGGAGAGCCCGAGGGGGAGATGAGAGAGGATCATGATATCCTCCCAGAGGTCAGTGCTCATACTCCATGTCTTCTAATAACACCATTTTGGGAAGATTGCCTGGTTCACCTTAGTAATCCTTAAAAATAATAACACTAAAGCATGTAGTTTGTTTCCCCATAACCTTGCTTGCACCATGCAATTCTGTTGGCCACTATGTAGATCTCCTGGGAAGTGAAGGCTCAATTTACTGCACAAAGCCGTGGTAAAAAAATGCAGCAATGCTAGCACTAGCTCCAAAAGTCAGCAGGTGACACAATTCATTCATTTGTATATTAGTGTTTCATCACCATAATTTTTCACTAGGAGTCTGCTCTGAGCAATTTAGAAAGCCTTCTGGTCTCCTGTGCCACAGCAGTCCTAACAATATATAATAATATAATACCACTTGGACACACTAGGAGGGATAATTATATGTCAGCACTCCTGTTTCAAAATGTTGATTGTTGTTAAGCTCAGGTTAACAGTATTGGATACTTTTAACAGATTCAGCCATTAAAGCATCTTCAGCTAACATTTTATTTTGCCTTCAGGATGATGTCAACTACCTGTACCTCTCTGAGACTCTTCGAGTACCAAAAACTCTTTATGAGCGCATCGCAGAGATTGGAGACTACAAAAAGTACACGTCGGCTCTGCTGATGATACTCTTTGACAGAGAAACACTGGGCACACACTCTCTGCAGGGCCGGAGGAGCGCCTTTTCTGGAGAAGATAGCCACAAACCTCAACTCCCACCTGAGATCTTGACAGGTATCATTGGTAAGTGTTTGATGGTGTCATTTACTTTTTCAAGCACACATACCTTCTTTGTAGATGTCTTCATCATTTTAAGATGTGATCCTACCAAAAGGAGACTAACTTTTTGTTCCCATGCTTCTTCTTCCAGAACATGTGGCACTCAAGTTTGGTGTGGATAGCAGCCAAATAAAAACGGCAATCCGCACGAAGTTGAACAATGAGGACAAACTATTAAAGAAGAGACTGGGCATAGGTAAAGCTGAAAACAGAGCTTTCATTGATCAAAGCTTTTGCCATGACGCTGCACTTCTGTCTGAAAATGGAACGATGACTAACGATTCTCAGTTATAACGTTTTGATTCTGCCTTAATGTGTTGGTCACCCGTATTTCATGTTTGACAGGTTGACTTTTTAATCCACCTGTCTATTTTATTCATTATCGAGTGCTTGAGTGATTTTATTAGTTAGGTCTTTTTTTTAACACTTTTTAGAATTCTAACATTTTTGCAGCTGCTGTTGTCTCTCATGTGTTCAAAGTGTTTAAAGTGTAAGGTTTAATCTGGTGACCCAGAAGCACTGTCACGTGTCATTGTCAGTGGTAAAAACAACCAAGTGTTCTTATTTTATTTGAGGTAGTAAGTGGAAGTGTCTAAATAATACCTATGTGAAGTCGGTCTATTTATAATAGTTAAACTTTCAGTCGGCTGTGAACGAAAATCTTTCTATTAATAGGGGGGTTATGTTGACCCTGTAGTTCATGACAAACTGTGCGTTACACCAGGTGATACTGTGTTTCTAGGATAGTTTTTTGTAGTTGCAAAATATGCTGTAAGTGATAAATAATCTTTCTGCTTCCACACCATCTATTACATCACTTCTCTGTGTGTTGTGCTTACCTACGTAAGGGCCAATAAACTTTCAGAACTGATATCCTTCTGTTAACTTAACCTGGACCCTTTCTTACGTCAGCACAGTAAAGTACAGCATGCTCCCATGGGGATTTAAAATGTACAGCAACCAACAGATGTCAGCGCTGAGCCTGGTTTCATGCTTTTCTATTAGCAAAAGAGTACAACTGTTAGGAAATATACATTTTTAAGACATGATGAACTGGATAAAAAAAAAAATGGTGTGTGTGTGTGTGTGTGTGTGTGTGTGTGTGTGTGTGTGTGTGTGTGTGTGTGTGTGTGTGTGTGTGTGTGTGTGTGTGTGTGTGTGTGTGTGTGTGTGTGTGTGTGTGTGTGTGTGTGTGTGTGTGTGTGTGTGTGTGTGTGTGTGTGTGTGTGTGTGTGTGTGTGTGTGTGTGTGTGTGTGTGTGTGTGTGTGTGTACATATACAGACAGGCACAGTGGACAGTGTGTGACAGTCACTGCCACATACTGACTGATGAACGACTGTGTGTGTAAGACGTGGTTAATGTCAGCGGTTGGCAGTTTGATAGAGTCATGTTGTCATGAAAGATGTGAATTGAAGAATCACCACATGCTGGCTCCTCCCCCTCAGTGCTCAGCCAGCTGTGCAGTGGACGCACATCACCTCTCTGTCAGTCAGCTCTCCCTGGGGTCCTGTACGAACGCATGTAGGGCTGTTTCTTTGGGAAATGTACAATTTTGTCACTGATTTTCCAGATCTTCCTATATATCTCTGTAAGGGACCACCATTATTACAAACCTGAATTGATACAGAGGAGAGGCATCACCATGATTTGGACGTATTCAAATTTACAAAACTGAGACAACTTTTTGGAAGATCTACAACCACTTTTCAAAATGTAAGATTTGGTAAGTTCCTTTTTTTTATTAAGTAGTTATAGCATTCTCTAAGATGTAACTTTAAGAATCAGGATATTAATGTATAAAGGAATATTAATGCATAATCTTTTTTTTAGAGTATTTAATAATTCAAGAAAAACCTTCCACTTCCATGTGTTGCAGAATGTGGCAAAAACTGAAGGTAATTTAGACAACAAACATGTTACAAATCTTAGCATTCCTGGCATCTTGTAGTCTGGTGAACTGTTGACCGTTTTTTGTTATAGTTTGAATTAAATCTATAATAACACAAGAGCTGACTAACAAGGAATGAAGTGATATTACAAACCAGTGGTATCTAAAAGATGCTCTGTAATGCGCATATTAGGGATATATTGACCTGCATTGTTCTGTCATCCTTATGATAATATAGAAAAGATTGAAGAAAGACTGAAGTTGCAAAATCCAATACATTTGTTGCTGTTGAATTAATGAATACAAGAGAGTTTAGAAAACACAACAAATGACTTGGCTGAAAATTATCATCCTCTTCAGGAGTAAAACCTGGATTTAAATCCTGTTGCATATGCTGTAACGGGAACATGATGAACATTAGGACAGCCTTACATAATAATCATGCCAATGTAAATAAACTGGTCCTTCCTGGGGATAAATCGCATTGCAAACGTGGCATGCAATAGAAGATTACAGCAGGGGAGAGCATCAGTGGATCAGGGCCATTGAGCGAGAACATGTATTTAGGACACAACATCATCCACAGTCGTAAGATTGGGACCTGATTATAATTTGTAATCACAAGGCAATACAAAGATAAGAAAAATTATGCGGAGAAGATGTTTGAAATGCAGTTTGTGATTGAGGGTCCAACCTGTCCCAGTAAGAGGTTTCCTCTTTGATGGTGCGCTGCAGGGTGACACCGAACACATACTAATCAATGCAGCCAGTTCCCTGCAGCTGGGCTAAAACAAGCACACTCATTATCTTACATTTCAAAAGGATGGGGACGGATGGAGGAGAGACAGGGTTTCCTCTATGAATTATTCCTATTGATCATGTCTCTCCCTCACTCGAATAAAGAGAGTAAGAGAGAGAGCATCCCTTCTATAACATTCTCATAAATAAACATTAATTGATGAACTTCCTAGTTCTCCTTTGCGGAGTGTGTGTGTTCCTTTAATATGAGGCTGCAGTAGGGATCTCTGAATGTTTATATTTGAAACATATTGGAATGAATCCCTCAACATTATGTGCAATAACAAAGAGACCAAAAACAGAGCTAAGAAAAGGGAATAATTGATTTACATTCACGGCAGACATAAACACGACACATGAAAGCTGATGTAGTTATGCAGGATGTGTAAATAGGAATATGTTTGCTAACGTGTCAACCATATCATCTAACACTAGATAGATTAAATATACTCTTAATTTGACATACTTTGTTATACATTTTAATGTTTTAATGGACTTCATTGTCTTTCACACAGGAGTGAAGAGTATTTCATCTGATGCGCTGAAGAATTGTTTGACCTCATTAATGACCAATGGGGGAGTTGGGTTACATACGTGTGCTTTTACTTTAAAACCTGTACTATGAATCATGGAGGAAAACACACAATTTCTGAATGCTGAGTACAATGACAGCACCACCGTTTGGGCCCCGATGCCCTCAGCTTCCAGCAGACAACTGGGCGTCCTTCCCAACCCGCAGACACGATTCAAGGACCTGACAGGGATATTTTTCATGGTGACCCTGAATGTTCTGGCACTTCTAGCCAACACTGCTGTTCTGGTAGTTGTCATAAAAGCCCCTCATCTCAGGAAATTTGCTTTTGTGTTCCACCTGTGTGCAGTGGACCTGCTGTGTGCCATCCTCCTCATGCCTCTTGAGATTGTGTCCAGCTCTCCGTACTTTGCTGGTGTGGTGTTCACTGTCCTGGTGTGCCAGGTCTACATCTTCCTCAATGTTTTCCTCATAGCTGCCTCTATCTTCACCATCACAGCCATTAGTGTGGAGCGTTACTACTACATCGTCCATCCAATGCGCTATGAGGTCAAGATGACGCTGAAGCTGACTGCGTCCGTGATAGTGATGGTGTGGGTGGCCTCTGCTGTGCTGGGGCTGTCCACCGTGTTTGGGTGGCCAGCTTACAGCAGCCTGAGCTCCATTAGTGCCTCACACTGCTCGCTGCACTGGAGCCACAGTAACCACAGACGAGTCTTCTCTGTGTTCTTCAGTGTCATCTGTTTTTGCCTTCCTGCTATTGTGATCTTTGCAGTCTACTGTAATGTGTACAAGGTGGCCCGTGTGGCTGCCCGCCAGCATGGACCTCTGCCCTTGTGGACTAACAGTCAAGCAAAGCATCGCTCTGACTCAATAAACAGCCAGACTACCATCATCACAACCCGCAACGCCCCACGTAGGATTATGAGGGACCGGCCTTTTGGTGGAGGTAAAGCAGCTCTCACCCTGGTGGTTATTGTTGGCCAGTTTCTGATCTGCTGGCTGCCTTACTTTGCCTTTCACATGCATCTGACGCTACACGCGACACCCAATATTCCTGATGATTTGGAGGAAACGGTCACCTGGCTGGCATACACTTCCTTTGCGATCAACCCGTTTTTTTATGGGCTTCTTAACAGGCAGATCAGGGAGGAACTTTGTAAGCTGAGGCGCTGCTACACCGCCCGCCCAGTGGAGCTGGCCATCTCCAGCCATGAGGGCTCAGGCAACGAGAACTTCCTGCAGTTCCTCCATAAGACCAGCTTCACAGCAGAGACACGTGCCAGCTTTGCTACTTCCAGTCCAAGAAGCACTCTGGATCATGGGCAGACCAGTTTTAGGATACCAGGGCAGATCCCAGAAGAGTTCAGTTAGATATACCTCGCTGTTGTACCACAGCGTTAGTAGCCAGTAAGGCCACTTCATACAGTGTGTAAGTGTATCTGAATACAGTAAAAGATAAGTTACAGCATCAAGAAATGAACTGTTTATGAAACTTGACATACTGTTTATAGATACTACTATTCATACTAATGGACATTACTTCTCAAAGTATCTTTACTTTACTTGTGGTAAAACTATTATCGATACAGTTATTAATCTGTTTTTACTAGCTACTAAAGCAAAGTCACTTTTTATTTTCAATCATTGCATCTATATAATTAAAGTAATGAGCACAAATATCCGGATTACTTGAATGTTGAGTGAGCAGTCATTCATATTTCTCAAGTTCGTACGTTATTTTTTCATAGGGTCTCCATATGACAGCAGTTTTTATTTGTTACTTTAGTAATTCAATGCTGTGCGTGGTATTTATGTTGCAGGAATTTGTGTAAACTTTATTTATTGTACTCAAAGAAGAAACACAGAGATTTCTGTTTAAAAATGCATTGTTTCTTATTGCTATAATTCTGCAAATAAACAGTGGTTACTTTCATCGTTTATGTAAATGTGAGTAAGAAACCATATATTCATAATATGCATTATTAGCAAACATTATGTTTTTCTTCTTACCACATTAGTCTGTACTTAATAGATTAATAATGGGCAAGAATCACATATGTCTGGCCAGTCATTCTTGTCAATAGGTTTTTTTTTTTAAATCAAATAATGTATTTTTTGACAGCAGAGAAAAATTAATTTACTGGGTTTATTTATTATTATTAATATCTAACAGTAGAGGGGCAGTCTGGTGATTAAACTGTCCTCGAGATCAACAGCCAAGTAAAAAAGTAAAACTCTACTCTCTTTCTGATCTAAAAGAACACTATCAGGAGTCTTCTACAGTCACACATGTGCACCTTTCCTGTGTATCTTTGACATTGGCAGCTTTGACATCTGTGTGGTCTGCGTGTCCATTTATGAAAAGCTTGTTACTAAGACTTAACGCAGTAAACACATGATTATATAAATAGAAAATGCTGTTTCATAACAGCCGTCATGGCTGTCTCTAATACCCTCTAAATATATGTTCACTGGCAGATAAACAGCTATTTATGTTCACATACACTTAATTATGAATATGACCTACTTCTCAAATAGAGTAGATACAATGATGGTATATCCAATGTGCTCTAAGGATAAACATTGATGGAGTTCACTGACCAATCAAGAAAGGCAGATTATACAATGTTAATATATCCTTGATTTATATTTGGTGCAGCTCTCCAAATAAGATTAGATTTAAGGGATTACATTGGATAACACACTGATTAATGGGGACACATAAAAACAAGCATGCTGAGCTGTCACAAACCCAAACACCATCTATATAAATATAAATCAGCAATAAAAGTAGATTAAATGGAAAAAATGTGTTAAAAATAACTCAGGCAGTGAAGAAATAACTAACATTGAGAGGAGTGAGATACACCTGTGTACTGACAGGCAGGAAAGAAGGTAGACTGGATATGTTAAGTCAAGATAACACAGTGTCATTTTATGTTTTCTGGCTGGCAACACATTCACACAAGTGTTGCAGTTTATTGCATAACATAGTTCATAACAAGTACAGAGCAACGACCTGCAAATATGATAGTACTGACTTACAGATACAAATGCATACATGACATCATTGTTAGAAGATGTTGTTGGGATGGAAAGTAAATACAAATCTTGCTCAGTATTTTGTTTAAAGTAGAAAAGTTCCATCAGAATGAAAAGGTACTAAATATATGGGCTCAGAACAGTCTCATAATACACACATGCACACAGAAGGATTCACACTTGTATTTCATGATCCGCAAAAGGATTCACACTTGTATTTCCGGATCCACACTTGTGTTTGTCAATGCGCACACAAATGTGTTCCGTTTCATATACATGTAAATAAAATCCAAATACAGAAAAAAGTTTTACATATGTATTTTTGATCCTCACATATTTGTTTTCCATTTAAATCCCCTGAACCTGCAAACACAAACCGCTTTCTGTGCATGGATCGCTGTGCATTCGTGTGTGGGTTTTTTGAGACTCCCCTGACGGTCACCCGATTCGTACTTGTAATTTTTTCTATCTATAGCCAATCAGATGTCTCCTTCATTCTAAGCCAATCACATGAGCGCGTCCCCACGAGGGTAGATTTATTGCGTTCATGACACTTCATATACGCATTTTGCGCTGTCCGGACTCGGAGCAGGGTTTCCGCGGACAGAATTAATTTTACCGGACAAATTTGAAACTTACCGGTCATGTTTCAATAATAATAATAATAAGAAGAAGAAGCAGAGTTTCCGTTAGTAGGTAATTACCGGACTATGACCGGATATGGCTAATAACACGGGAGTAAGGATCATCTATTTTTTCCTCTCTCCTGACAGCCCGCCAGTTTCTCATGTAGCTCGCTAAAACTTCACTCGCGTTTATGTCCATATCGATCAGATCCAGCTCTCCTGATCGGCCTTTATAGAGAGCACCGATCAAACTATTAAGAGTGAATATCGGCCGATAATGACCGGCGGGGCTCCCCCCGTTGACAGTTCACTGTCTAGCACTGGCTTCGTAGTGCACTGATCGATTAGGCTAAGCTAACCTGTAGCTGCTCCCTCCACACTCACAACAACTTCATACAGACATACATAAAGCAGCTGTATTCGCCATACAGGAAACACACATTTAAAACGGTTTTGCCTGCCGTTTTTGTGTACACAAGCATTCATTAATGGTTCGGAAAGTGGCACTGTACCTTAATAATATAAAGGCTTGTATTTGCGTGCATTTCCTGCTCTGAAAGTGTCAATGTACTGAGAGTGGAGGTGTCCTGAGATTAGCGCCTGCAGGCAGCCAGGCTCCATGGACCTGTCAGCTCCGGACAGCGCAAAATGCGTACATGAAGCGCTACGTCATGAACGCAAGAAATCTACCCTCGTGGGGGCGCGCTCATGTGATTGGCTTAGAATTGAGGAGACATCTGATTGGCTATAGATAGAAAAAATTACAAGTACGAATCGGGTGACCGTCAGGGGAGTCTCAAAAAACCCACACACGAATGCACAGCGATCCATGCACAGAAAGCGGTTTGTGTTTGTAGGTGCAGCGGTTTTAAACGGAAAACAAATATGTGAGGATCAAAAATACATATGTAAAACTTTTTTCTGTATTTGGATTTTATTTACATGTATATGAAACGGAACACATTTGTGTGTGCATTGAAAAACACAAGTGTGGATCCGGAAATACAAGTGTGAATCCTTTTGCGGATCATGAAATACAAGTGTGAATCCTTATGTGTGCATGTGTGTATTATGAGACTGTTCTGAGCCCATATAAATATGTCCGGCTGATTTTTTGTGTAATTCTTCAAAAGGCATCTATAATATTTTCATTTGATGGTGTAGTTTTGTCTTTCAGTGCTTCACTCAGCGTGAACATCATATAGCTTAATTTTCCAACATTAAAATCATTAAAGGGGTTATTTCAGGTGTTTCAACTGTTGTAATAAAACTAATTGTATATGTTTTTGGCCCTTTTTCTTCTTAAAACATTTAAATGTGGACACTTTATTAACCAATCTTTTCAAAATGATACTTTACGTAATTCATTTACACTTTACGTGTAATACAAGATGTGATAAAGATAATAAATACATTTCAAAGGACCTGTTTCATCACCCAGCTTCCAAACTGAATGAACATTTGAGCCTAAGCAGTGTTTATAAGTTGCTAATTAAAGTGAAGGACCTTCCATCTCAGAGGCAGCTTTTGTTTAATCAAAACAATCACATCACTGTACTTCTGCAAAGCATATTCATTGTAGATCAAACACGAGCCCACTGGCTTGAGCCTGGCCAAGTGGGGTCTGTTGTTCAGATGTGTTCAGATGGTAAATCTGAAAAGACTTGATGTTTTTCTGTTTCCTGAAGATTGTGCTGTCTGTTTGATAGTGATAATGAAAGAACCACCCCTGAAGAATCAAAGGGAGGAAGTGTGATTGATGGTGCTACCGGAAAGAGTGAACCTCATTATTTCATCAGACTTTCCCTTTGACAACAACTGCATGACTTCTCTCAGACCTGTGCACATATAACAGCTGCCGTCTACACAGAGCTCCATGCTGCACAACATGCTCAGGTCCCACAAACTAACAAGACACACAGGCATATCATAGGCCCTTTGCAAAAAACTCCTTAAAATAATAGGTTAATAGACATTTTGAAAATAGGTTTCTTTGCTTACAAATTATGCAATTGCTTTTTTATTTCTTTATAATAATAATAAATTGGATTTACATAGTGCCTTTCAAGAAACCCAAGGACGCTTTATAATAGGATGAGGTGGGGGGGACAAAAAGGAAAACAAATAAGAAGATAAAAACTGAAATTAACAAAGGCTGGTCAAAGAAATGTAGAGGAGAGAGTTAACTGAGGCTGAAAGCCTTGACAAACAGATGTGTTTTGAGTGCTTTTTTGAATCAACAGTCAGCAGTATTGCAAGACAAGATACACATACATTTCCATGCAAAAGTGTTTGTTTGTATCTCAACCAATTGGATTGTAATATTTGTTATAAGAAGTTTTTCTATTCAAAATGGAGCCTGAGATGCTGAAACCTATTCATTGTCGCAGGAATTCCTGTCCAATAACTTATCTTTTATAAATCTCCAACATCATGTAGCGTCTCAGAGTAATCATGATAACCACTCTCTCTTACACACACACTCACACTCTCCGCTGACCTCACCTGTTCAGCCTCGGTCACAAACAAAGCCCATCTGGCGAGGTGTGCAGACCATTAGCATACCACAGTCTCCGGCACAGACACAGGGAACTCTCTTTCATCCATACGCTGTGTTCCAACCTGTCTTCATCCAGCAGGCAGACATGGTCATTACCATGGAGACTATGCTCAATCATCGCGGAGTAAGTCCCTCACAACAGGTGTTCAGGTGTTCTTAGTAATGTACTATGTGCAGTATTTGTTCAACCTTTACGATTAAAAGACATTTCCATTTTGTTTGCTTCCCTTAGTAATGCATAGGTCAAACACTTGGATGCATGACTCTTAAGATCAACAGCGTCATCATTTAATCAACATACTTGACGTACACAGATGGATAGCATGTACTTTTTATATCTGCATTGTTGTATTAGATTCTCACTTTGCCAGCTGTTATGATCTTAGGTCAATATGTGGCAGTGTAGATGATGATGTGAGCAGTTTGATCTTGTGAAGAAGGTCTGGTAGGTGGCTGAGTGACTGATAAGATCTATCTGAGGATTCATAGCTGACCTATTAATAGCAGAAAAGGAAAAGCCGTTAATGGGTCCAAAGGTTGACAGAGTTGAAAGGTTTTTTTCTTAAAAGCATGTTGCGAAATGTGTTTTACACCAGAGTGCAGAGACCTGAGAATGTTCTTCATATACAGGGCCTTATGGAGGATACTCTGATAACATGCATTATATCTAATGTTGTTAGCATAGTGATTCATGCTGTTAGTGAACAGGAACAAGTAAAGCAAGGCAGTGAATGACCCTCAGCTGAACAGTTTCTGTAGGGGACAGCAAAAAACCAATTTAAAATATGGATTTTGGTCATAAAGATGCATATTGCAATATGGCAGGTCAACGGCATGTCATGTCAGTTTCAAGAAAACAGTACATGCATCGATTATTGTGATTGAACATTGTTTATCTCCCTGTCTTCACGGTCATGATTCATGTTACCTTTGCCAGTTCTGCGGCTCAAATATCCCCTTTATTCTACATCTTAACAGAAAAGCAGCAATGAAGTCATTAAAATGTCAAATAATTTGTGGTTTTCAAAGTTTAAATGTGTCATACACTATTGAGAGATATTACATTTTTTTCAGGCACATCTGATTGCACTTCAGAATACACTTAATCTCCCTCACAGGCCAGAGGGAGGCAGTATTGCCTTGCAAGTCAAACCATTTCTGACACAAAGAAACTCATCCTACATTAAATAATGAGATAAGTAGATAATAAGTAGAGGGATGAAAGTCACAAAGTCCTGTTTCCCAGATCATTAATTATTCCAGTTGGTAGTCACAGAATGTGGCCTTCAAAGATAGCTTTTACTATATGTGTGTGTGTGTGTGTGTGTGTGTGTGTGTGTGTGTGTGTGTGTGTGTGTGTGTGTGTGTGTGTGTGTGTGTGTGTGTGTGTGTGTGTGTGTGTGTGTGTGTGTGTGTGTGTGTGTTTCTCACCCAGCAGGGTGTATCAGTGTATACAGAGCCATCTCCATGCTTACAGTATTTATATCCCATCCTATCCGTCCTATCCCTCCCTCTGCACAGGAGAAAATGATCTTGGCAGACCATCTGCAAATACCATGCAGGGCACCGCAATGTTCCCAATATAACCTCATGTTGCAGCACAGCTGAGGGGTCCGATCGGTGGCCACAGTGAGGTGTAAGGGAAGTGACAATCACTAAATCTCTGGATTGTGGTTTCTTTACGGGTTTCGATGCTCAGGATGATGAAAGGGAAAGATTCAGAGGAAGTAGAGATTGACTTGGAGGACTCCAGTGACCCTGAATCTGATAATGGGGAGGAACCTGAGATTCTGTGGAAAGCCCCTCCTGTTCACGAAGAAGAAGAAGACATTCATACCACCACACTGGTGGAAATCAGTGATACTAAGCCTCTGATTAATGTCAGAGACCCCCGTGATATAAATGACTGTCTCAAGGTATTTCATTCTTATGCAGTAGTTCTGTTCAACTTTGTTTTATCGACCTTTTATGTTTTTGTCACATGCAGTAAATTATCTGAGAAAGAAAGAAATACACTGAATGATTGCCATGTAGAAGCAAGAGACTGCTTGGCTCATTGTCAAGTTGAGATAATGTATTCTTGAAGGTGAAGTACAACAGGAACATGTCTTATAGTTCACCTCTTTAGCATCAGCACCACTGTCTCTTGTTGTTTCCAGGTGACGTTTGAGGATGTGATTGCGGAACCGGTGTCGGTGCGCAGCGGGGACAGAGTGTGGATCTGGAGTAATGCCCTGTTTGAGGTGTCCAGGGTTTGGATCTACAGGATAGTCACAGTGATTCTGGCAATTCCCATTTCAATTATCTCTGGACTCCTCTTTGCCATCCTCAGCTGCTTCCACATCTGGTAGGGTCGGATCATGTCTACTTGAACCTATTAAGGCAATAACAAAGAAACTGTTTCTCACTTACTGCTAAGGATGCCAAGTCACACTGATAGTTTTGGGGTTTGATTTGGCCAGGTGTTGACATATCTATCTGTTTATTATACAGCTGTGATTGAATGTGATTGGTTTTGAACGGCAGGATTCAGTATTTTCAAGAACTAAAAGACTACTACACAGAAAAAGACCGTTGTTATATTTTTTTGTCTCCTAGTCCCCCAGCTAAAGTGCGTAGGAGAGCATGTTTCATTGGTCTTCAGTAGGCTATCTATTTAAAAAGAGGAATCCGAACGAGGAAAATACTTTGGCAACAGGTAGACAAATAAATAAAATAACATCTCATTCTATTAAGAAATGTGTTGAAAACAAAGTATGTTATCAGACATAATGTTGATGAATGCTGTACTGATGATAACGATGAACTATGAATTGCTTGGAGAGAAATACAGTAAGAAGGTTTAATATCTTGATGAAACCCAAATTGAAAGAAATAATAATAATAATCAGCCTTTAAAATGTCCTTATGTTCTTTCATTGTGACTGTTGTGTTTCTCTTTGACAGGATGGTCGGTCCTTGCAGCCACTGTCTCCGCATCGGTGCCCGCTGGCTGCAGAGCCTATGGAGCATTGTGCTGTCCGTCGTTGTGCGCCCCTTCCTCACGAGTGCTGGGCGATGCTGTGGAGGCTTCAGCATTCACCTGGCCAAGGAATGACACTCACACATCCGGACTGGGATTGTTTTTTGATGTAAACTTGTTTTCTAGTGGACTGAGCCACAGTGGGCATGGATGTTTGAATCTTTAATAGTCTATTCAAAATACAATTTTTTATAAATAGTACTTTCTTAAATAACTTACAGTGGTTGATTTGAAGACAACTTTAATTATGAAAGTGACCGTTGTTGATAGTCATGCAGCTCTATCTATGATACCATAGTGGACTATTGTCTCTGTATGATTTTTTGATTTTTGAGTGACTTCAGCATACGTTTTTATGCAAATTGATGGAATGTATCATCTTTTTTTATTTTATATTGTTAAATGTGTTTATTTCTCTGTAGATATAATACTTATTAACTGAGTTTTTATCTTGCAGTATGGCAACTCCTTATGGCAGTATGAATCGCAACATGAGCCTGCTTTCCCCTTGAGAAAAATGTGTACAGTGTGTGTGTGTGTGTGTGTGTTTGTCTGTATGTGTGTGTGCGTGCGTGTGTGTATCGACAGTTTAAGGTTGTCAGCGCTGGCAGCTGCCTGCTGGCATTCCTGGATTGAAAACATACTGAGTGGCGTTTCAGTTTATAAACCTCCACTCCTCTGCTCTGCCCTCCTTGGCTCTGACTGCAGCCACACACACACACACACACACACACACACACACACACACACACACACACACACACACACACACACACACACACACACCACACACACACACACACACACACACACACACACACACACACACACACACACACACACACACACACACACACACACACACACACACCATCTTGGTATTACTCGGGTGCTTCATTATCTCAGTTCCACCTTGAGTCAAAGAGCAGGGCTCTGTCTGAAATGAACAGGAACCTGGAGTGGATGATCAGGAACGACAGCAACACCTGGGAGAAGACCTCAAAAACCCCAATAAAATAAAAAAGGGTATGGTCAAGGTTCAAACAATCTCTTTACTTTATTATCACTGAATTGCATTACAGAATTGTGTAATTTTGCGATTATTGAAGCTTGAAAATGTGTGTGTCCAATAAAGATGCTACCTAAACAACCTTTCATACTGTTTTTAAAATATTGTTGAGTGAATTAAGTCAGCTTTATGTCCATTTGTCAAGAAAGGGCCTCAGATATGTTATGTCTATCATTGGGAAATTGGCAACTTCATTTGACTTCCATGCCCAACAGATTGTAAAGTATAAAGTATTTTGCTAAAACTAAGGTCACCGTCACACATTACACATTTTGCTTGAAGAAAAGAATAAGACTGGACATGCCATTTCACTTTACCTTCAGATCCACAAATCATAAGTGCTGCAAATATGTACAATTAAAAGTGTATCTAAAAGTTAAGCTGATTAAGTGTTTCTTACCAGATGAATACAATGATTTTACTTTCTGAAAAATGTCTATCAATTGATATTCCCCTTTCTTACTCAATATTGATGTAAGCCAAACTTTTACAAAAGAATGTTGTTGGTTCAATATGAGTGTTTCATTGCACTCAAACACTTACAATGTCTCCCATATACCATGACAAACAGATGTAAGCATGTTTACCCACGTGTTATACTCTTGTTATTGAGTTCCCCTGGCATATTTCACCTAAAGCTACTCCCTGTGGATACTGCCTGGAACCACATGTTTTGGTTGACATCCTTCCAAGCCATATAAAGAGAATTACATTTTAAAACATACCTACAGTAATAAGTCAAGAATGCTTATTATCTGATCCAGATACTGACATGTTCCATATGTTCAGCCGACAGTTGGTATAGCAAAAGAAACAGAGCAGAAAACATAATTTGTTTGAAAATCAGTGCTGCCACAAGGGGGAACCATTATTCTAGTTTGATCTAAACTAGATTAAATATGCTGTGTGCTCAAAAGCTCAGGTACACTCATTACCCTAAAACGCTATAACCACCTGAAAAACAAAAGATGGAGTTGATAAAAATGTGCAGACACTCGATGTGGAAACTATTTACAAAGTGAATTTCATATGACATCATAAAGGACAAACACTGTTTGATCTGAAGCACAGGAGTCTGCTGAAAACATTGAAAGCAGCCTCTATGTTGTGAAATACATTCCTTGTGTATTTTGCTTTGATGATGGGTCTTTTTTTTTGCTGCTGCAATGAAGATATTGAAATTAAGCCATGCCTTGAGAGTGGGTATTATCTTAATTACCTTATTATCATTCATGCATATCAACATTCGGTGCAACAACCCATAACATATAATAATATCACTATAAAATTCTTGTTCACAAAGAGATGCTGCTTTGAAAGGCTTAGCAACCATTATAGCAACTATCTGAGTGCCCATTTGCACAGAGTAAAACTTTTGTATAATCTGCCCTAACTTCTTAAAATGTCATTCAAATGGATTGGTTTGAAGCCTGTGAAACATCAAGATAATTGTTGTGATCATTCCTTGCTTGTCAAGGTCAAATCAGTACATCAACTACAAGAACCACACTAGGAGTAGAGGATTGTGTGCACATGAGGTTTGTATTCTCTGTTTAACTCAATAAACAAAATGGTGTAATGGCCACTGCAGTGCCACTGAGGATGATTACATTCTTGAAATGGGGGACTCGCAATGTTGCCAGATTGCTGGATTACAGGAAGCCTGGATGGCTTTCAGCTGGCCCCTCAGTGTCCCCCTGTGCTGGATGTGTGTGTGAGGCTCCTCTGGCTGCTGGTGTTCTTCATGGCGTAAGAGTTGCTCTTGTGCCGGCACTGTCCGTCACAGCTGCAGGAGGAGGCTGTCAGGTAATGTCCACAGCAGCAGAAGAAGCACTGCGCCAGGTCCTGGAACAGGTGACCAGCAAAGAACATGTATATCCAGGGGTTACAGCAGCTGTTGAGACTGGCCAACAACATGGAGATGATGAAGGCCACATCTATAGGGAGAGAGACAGACAAGAACATGCTTGATATTTGTTGTGTCTTCTTACAGGTTCAAGGTAAAACTGTAGCTTATTATAAGACAACCCCAAGCAGCATCATATTAACTCACTACTTCACCAAATCCATAACTGAAATGTGTCCCCTGACAAACACAAAATGTCCTCCTGTCTGAGTAACACAGATTGTTATCCTCCCTGTGTGTTGTGTGGCACAGGAAGAGTAAGTCCAACAGAACCGAGAGATTGAATATGGTGCTTTTGGTATTTTCATGGGTTTGTTGACAAGGAAAGATATTTTTAAATATTGCCAGTATTATCCTTTAAATAAAAAATGCCTCCTACCGAGTGCATGCTGGGAAAGGATCCAACCCTGTGCTTCCCGTGAATAGGATAAGCCGTTTAAATAATGACCGGATGGGTGGGTCTTTAAAAAGCCTCCAAAGTGGCACATTTTTCTCCATTTCAGTAAGATATAATTACCTTGTTGTGGGCTTCAGTCCAAACTCCGTGGTGTGTGTGTGTGTGTGTGTGTGTGTGTGTGTGTGTGTGTGTGTGTGTGTGTGTGTGTGTGTGTGTGTGTGTGTGTGTGTGTGTGTGTGTGTGTGTGTGTGTGTGTGTGTGTGTGTGTGTGTGTGTGTGTGTGTGTGTGTGTGCTTTGGTTTTTTAAACTGCACTTTAGTGATTGATAGTGTCATGGATGTGGGATGGTCTGCCAGTTTGCTCCAGACTTCAATATTTCAACTAATATTTGATGTCATCTTGCATTTTGTACATTGTATTTACATTTTGTACCTAATCATTCATTCTATTTTCTGAAGCACCAACATCAAATTGTCACTTTGTTTTTTATTGAAAAAATCTCAACAACATTTAGATGGATTGCCATGCAGTTGAAAATGAAATATGTCGCACCTAAGGAGGAATTACAATAACTTTGCTCCCCTAACCTTTCCTCAAACACCATCATGGTCATTAACAAACATTAGCATGTTAGCTCTCAATGTCATCTCTACTGAATTAGTATAAGCCCAGTTCAAGCCAGCTGCATCTTTTTTGCGCATCATTTGTAGAGAAATTCAATCACTGTCACGCCGAAGCATTTCAGACAACCTCCAAACATGTAGGAGTATAGCTAAAAGAAATAAGAAGGTTGATGGATGCCACACAAACAGGACTTCATGCTGCCTTACACAACATTGAAAAATGGCTTCAATTAAAGAGGCCATCTCGGGTGGTAAAGTATTCCTTGTTTTTCTCAATAATTCAAGCGATAAAACGTCAAATCTTCGTAGCCATATTAAAGGAGCATGCCATTTGCACAGTGGAATATGGAAGACTTCCAATTATTCTTTTTATTCTGTAATGGAGTGAAGAGATTTACTGTGCGTTGTCTTCTTCTCCCCTAAAGGGAAATTGCTGACCTGCTCTGTTCACGGTGTTCTGACTCTATAGTCTTTAGCTTTATTATGAGAAGTGTGCGATGCAAACTGTCAACTAAATGGCCCGTCACAATTATGAGACATGTTCAACAGATAGGTTAAACACCCTGTCCAGAGTTTGTGTGGAGAGTGCAGTTCTCTCAGGGGGAAATACCACAAGATGACAGCTTTTGAACTCTTTTCTTTTGAACCTGTCATTATTCACTTTGACTTACAGCGCATTCATCACTTTTTCGTGCTGCCATGACTGAAGGAAAACATTCAAGATGTACAGATCTTCTGAGATTAAACTAGAACATTTGAAATGTCGTGATTCATAAAGAATGTGCAGATACTATAGATCATTCTGATGATAAAGTGCACAAAGTCAGCGTCCCCTTTATTTTCAGTGTAGCAAGTTTGTCTGCAGGTTTGATGGGACGGCAAAACTTCAAAGAGGATGCAATAAGTCAGAACAGACAAGCAGCCAGTGAAATTTGAATTAGCTACTTGGTTCTGATTGAAGTTCCTTTTTGAAAAATGTCACCCATAACGAAATCTTCAAACTACCAGTACACCTTTCATAAAACTACTGCAAATCCTAAAATTATTTCAAGTTGATAACATCCTCCTACTTCCCTCTATTTGTCAATCTTTGATTTAATGTTCTTATAATTGACTTATTTTACATTTCACATGAGTTTCTTTACTATGAAATTCAGCAAAATCATAAAAACTGTCTGTAGTAAAGATAAACAAGATTCCAGTTTTAATCTCTAACAAAAACGTATTTCCATAATGTGGTGTTTTGAATTTTTAAACTGACATATTTTGTATTATTAATGAGAATATTATTGTCTTAATAAACCAATGAAGAACCCAATAAAACAGTGTGTTATCATTACTAAAAACCTGAAAACTGAGCAGTTTTTTTTACATTTCCATAAGTTGACATTGTACAAGGTTTTCATGGGACAGCAAGAAGTTCACAATTTTGTAGTTCAGTATTTCTATTTCAGCACAAATGTGAATACAAATAATTTCCACATTAATGAAATGTTAGGCCTGCTTTGCAAAATTGCATGGTAATGTCACACATGCTAAATGGCATTAATAAATAGCCTAGTTGAGTGTGTCCATCCAAACAATATGGGGGTCCCTGGGGAAAAAATACTTCTGTAAAGTGCATGCATTCTTAGCTTTAAACTGTTTATTTTCCTTTTTTATTTTACAAAATGTTTCTACTGAAGAAGACCAGAGGAAGACACTTAAGTCTGGTCTAAAGTACTTTTAGGAAATTTGCTCACAGAACCACTTGAAAGGTTATGGAGCATATCCGCTCCCCTGCTCTGTCCTATTTAATGGCAAATGTAAAAGATATATATGAGGGGTAAATCTGAACAAACTATATGCAGTTAAGTAGACATTACATAACTCATCACTGGGAACATAGAGAGAAACCCTTTGATGTCCTGGAACATTTACTCTCCTGATTGCTCCGAAGACTTTCTGGAAACTGATAACCACTGCAAATGACAGAGCCATTCATCTGTGTTCACTCCGGGGGAAGTCTAAAGTTAAACACCATTGTGTTGCCTTGGAATTTAAGTGGATTGCAATGTATTCCCAGAGATATATTTTATGAGGTAGAATAATGACCCTTGAGGCACTTAGGCCTGGAATATACCTGTAAATCACATGGCTTATGGGCAACAAATGTACCAAAGTTAATCTTAGACAAAGAGGGCCATTTATGATTCAAACTGCATCTGTTGGCCATTGGTAAAGAAAAAGAACACATTATTACCTTCTCGTGGTGCAGCAGGATCCCATGCAGACCACATCTGGACAAAGAAGAAGGGGGTCCAGCACACAATGTAGGCAAGGACCACTACAAATGTCATTTTCACTGTGCGGATCTTCGCTTTTGAAATAAGCCTCACACTGCTCACACGGCAGAGGGGATGAGCTCCTTTGGAGGGCCTTTGAGTTAGAGCCGGGAAAGTATCCTTTCTGGTTTTTAAATTGAAATTCTGCCATATTTTAAAACATATCAGGCCATAGCATATGCTTAAAATTGCCACTGGGAAAATGTAAATACTGAGACTCATCCATGTGATGTAGGCTTTGGCTCCCCATGGCTGTATAAAGTCTCCCCAGCAGTCATACACACCGTCCCCGACATCCCTCAAGGAAAATATGTACGCTTGAGGAGTGCTGAATACCAGGCTGAGCATCCAAGAGGCGATCACACAGGAGCGATCCTTTCTCCTGTGCACGGAGCGGAGTGGCTGGCAGATTGCTAAGCACCTGTCGATGGACATCAGGACAAGCATGTAGGTAGATGCAAACATACCCACAACCTGGAGGTATTTGACTAATCTGCAGAGCAAATCCGGGCCGTAGAAGCGAAATGTGATATCCCAAATAAGCTGCGGTAAGACCTGAAAGATAGCAACAACAAGGTCTGCGATACTGAGATGTTTCATGAAGTAATACATCCGAGACTGGCTGTGTTTCGTGGTGTGGATGGCCCGCAGGACGCACAAGTTGCCGGTCAGAGCGAGCAGCAGCACCAATACCAGGACGGTAACTTCCACTTTGGCCACTTCTTCATTTCGTTTCAAAGGGTTCACTGTGGTGTTTCCTGAATGGCTTTCATTTCCTCGACTTGAGTTGCTGCAGGAAACATTTTGGATCCAATTATTCTGCTCGCGTAAAAGGTACTCCATCGTGCGCAAAAGCGCAAGTTGGCGCAGCCCTCGATCACATCACAAAACAGATCCAGGACCTCTATCTGCTGTCTGGTGGTGCAGTTGCACTACGCACTTTACAGCCAGCTCAATATATTTTAAAGTTGGTTTTAATTGCCTTCAGGTTGAATTACTGTATGATCCAAAAAGCACCACTCTAGCCTGAAGAGGAACAACATGAACAATCTTAATTAAAACTCTGAATCCTTGCACATTTACAGTATCTAAAACTTTTGAACTATAACAATCAGTTAAAAAATAATATCACCTTAACATTACCCAAGGGACTGTTTACAAACGAAGCTTACCTTTGAAGCGAGTTATTATGGTGTCTCGGAGCAGTTCACTCGCTGCCTCCAGATTGATATCTGATTTGCAAAGGCTCTGTATCCTACCAATGTCCGTATCCCCCTCCCCTCATAATACTTTCCTTTAGCAAAATATCTATCTGGGTCCAGTACAAGCACACTGCACGTAATACTTATTTATCTCTCTCTCTCTCTCTCTCGTCCCCTTCTGTCTCCCCCCCGCCCCCTGTAACTAAAGTTTAGGTTTTGACTTTACGTTTTTTGTAAAGTCAAATGTCCCTTAAAAGTATTTAGTCGATGCTATCATATTGGACCTATAAGTCAATGATTTTAGCATCTACAATATTTGAATTAATCACTTATTGGATTCAAAGACAGGAACATTTCAGTCTAAACAGCCTCCCTCGTTTTCGAAAGAACACGACCAAATATGGACAAGAACAATATCTGGAACAGCAACTTGGTGGAATATAATAACATTTAAGTGCATGTTCACAGCACAGCGCAGATACTCTGTATGCACCTTAACCTATGCTATCATTAGTGGGTCATTACAGGTAAAGTCTAAAGCATCAGTCACCATGGCAGTGAGTTATTAAATCCAGTTTCACATTAACACAGGCAACAAAAGGCTGATGGGAGTAATTGTAAATGTTTTACTGTCAAAAACAGAACCAAACCAAACAGCTGTCAAAGATAAATAGCTCCCTATAGCTATATTGAATTCCTTAAATTCCTCCCTGAACCTTATAAAGGATGTCTACTGTAAATTGATGCTCATGCTGTTCCAAATCTATTTTTCAGGCACGTGCAGTACAATGGAGCAATATTTTTGTTTAAATGTCAGATATCTTGTTCCTGAATGAAACTCTGTATTTATTTCTTATTATTACGTTTAGCCAATTTAAACTAAATCATTGTTTTTTTCATTCCATTTGTCTGTATTGAGGGCAGCAAGTCAGCTGTGCTTCTGAAACTGGCACGAGTTAAATAATGCATTTGACGCACTTGCAGGTGCTGTATTGTCAGTGCCTTGTCCAGCTGAATAGCCCTCTTGATAGATGTCTTGTGTTTCGATGGATACTATCTGATGATGGTGGCAGATAAATGCGTTGCTTCTGTTTCCAGGAATACCAGACCAGGAAAACATACATGAGCAAAAACAAGACTAACATACTTTACTGAATTTGCAGGCAGACACAGCCTCTTTTCCAGTAAATGGAAAACTAGGATTATCATTTTTGACTTTTGGCAGCATTTTCCAGGACAAATTCCAGATCGCCGCCATGAATTATCATCCTGGATCAATTTTGAACTTTTAGACCTGCCATATGCAAGTTTTGGTTAACAAAATAGTCGTTTGGGGTCAATATATCATAACGAGTTGAGGATGTTTCATGTAAATCAAGGTAATTTGTTCATCAAGACAGGGTGTAATTTGATTGACTTGGCCTTATCAGAGAGCAACATCACATTTTGTTAAATGGATGCTCGGTCTTGATTTTTGTATGCAAAGCATGCAACATTAACCTCTTTTTAACTAAGTGCAGACACAAATAATATCTCTTATGCAAAATAACAAAAACTTGGTTTGAAAATGGTGTGTTCTTTTAGAACCTCCACATCAGAGTAAGAAAAATAACGTTTTCCCAGGTTATTTAAACTGCAGATATCACATCATAACATAATGCATGGAAAACATGCATCATAAAACATGATAAAGACACTAAAAGCAAAAGAAAGGGTCTTGCAAAATCGAAATGCATAATTGACTTAACGTTCTGTCTAGAGGTGGGCAGAAAAAAGAATAATGAAAAAACATAAATTACAACTACAAAATCTGGGACAGGATGTGCAAGAATAGAAATAATGGGGCATCCTTTATCCAATGGGTATGAGAGGATTGTTCCAGTGCAACACAATTACACACCTCACTAACAAAGTGAGAACTCTACAAGTTTAGTTTACATTGAATTGGACGCCAGCGAAAGCCAAACCATAAGCAGACCTTAAGTAACATGTAATACAACTTACATCAGTGCCAGGATAGATGCCAGCTATATGTTACAGAGGTTCTTCTTTACATTGTAAAACCCTTTGGCCGCCAATAAATATGTTTTTGATTCCTCAAGAAAGTATATGTGGATGTTTTTATTCAACTATAATGACTTCAAGGCCCCAAGCAGCCACTTAGTTTGTTTATGCCCCAGGCTCTGAGTGTATCTGCCAAAGGGCTGTGCAAAGTTTTTGTCATTTATTCAGAAGCATCTGAAGAAGTCACCAATTTATCACGGCTAACTGCTTTAACATTATACAGTTTTAGCAGTAGGACACTTATGTCTATAATGAATAGTAGTAGGCTACTTGGCACCATGGCCCTATTGCTTTCCTGGAGAATGCAGACTGTTGTGCACACATTTAGATGGAACAAGAAACATCATTTGAATCATTTATATTTTAAATGATCTTTTGATGTCATTTTAACGGAGGTGATCTCAAGTTTATGTAGAGTTTCATTATCTGCTAATCGTTTTTGAATGGAGATGCCCATAGCAAAGCATAGCATGTTTGGCACAGGAACATATTGGCATATTGAAGATGAAACACGAAAGCAATGGTTTTGTTAAAAAAATCTTTATCGGATGGTTGTATGGCTGCAAGCAATCTAAAGTCATGTTTTCTTGATGCCAAATTGACCGTGCCACCTGTAAGACATAACATGGTGTGATTAGCGGAGTTAGGAGATATATTTTCGTGATGTTAATAAACATGTATTAATTGATTAATAATGGGGATTTAATGCTTTGCTCAAAGGTTACAGTTACATGCAAAAAACCCATCACAACAGTGCTGCGGTCACTTCATACTTCAAGTGCTTTTACGAGTATCTTAGATCACTAATTTGATTACTGCAAAGACTAATTTGTTGTAAGAGTAACTGGGCAGGTGTAACGGTATTTTATGTAAACAGACCTGACTATAGCACCCCTGTTTTTGGTAGCACCTAAAGGTGAGGAATGACATGGCATTTTGTGTATTTGGTTGTCTTACCCTCATTGTGTTTTGCCCATTTATCTAATATTTTATCCTCAGTTTTTTTATTCAGATATTTTTTATGTGTTTTACATTGTGTAAGTAACAGTTTTACTGTTTCACAAGGGTAAGGAAGTGGTGATGGCATCATGCTCCTCAAAGAAAGTTTCTTGTCCAAATGTCAGTGATTGTTAAGTTGAAGTCTGTTTAATGAATAAAGGTCATTGGTGAAACTTGCCATTGCTAGTTTTTACATTTTACTCCAGCTGTCTGGGAACTTGACAACAGAGTACAAGCTATTTCACTCCCCAGATCTGGAATGAACACTAAAAAAAAGTGCCCATAGCTGGATGGGGTTTCAAGTACTGGTGGTAAAGTTTTTGGTGGGGTAAGTTAAGAGTGAATGTGTCTATCATTACCTGTAAGGGGAAATGGCCTTCTCTTCCTGACAGTGCTTTCTGTGCAGTTACTGACTGTAAATCTATATGTAACCAGTTATCTTGTTTCATAAGCATTTACGACCATACACCACATTTATCTTTTACTGTACAGCTTAGACAGTGTATATTTAGCATATGTTGCTAAGCATAAGCTTGTTGTTTTCCCATAAACCCATTGTTACTTCAGTACAACACTACCAATAGCAGTACAGGCACATTGCATTAGCACGCCAGGACACATACTCTATGACATAGAACAGGAAAAAGGAAAAACAAAAATCTTGTTTCACACAGAGACCTTGACATGAAACAGATGAGTGTCACAAAAAAATGGCTCTTCAGCATGGAGACTGGCATGCAAATAGACACAGGCTGGATCCTGACCATACATAAACTCTGTGTGACAAGTGCACTTGGCATCCGAACACTTCATCAGCATTTAAAAATCAAGTTGGCGTGTTGTGACAATCTTTTGACTTGGTGATGTAAGTGTAGAGGCATCCGGCTGTGGGAATGCGATAACAAACCGGTGTGTTGGTTCAGCTGCCCCGTGGTATCTGTGCACTCACACAGGTATAAACCAGCAGTCACTCTCTGTTCCTAACCTAAAGCATGTGTGTGCTGGTGGAAGAGTCAGAAATCACATGCACAACTAAATCATGTTAGCGTGACGAACAGAAGGTTTGTGTGAACACTGCAAACTAAAACAAACGTTGTCTCTAGAAGACAATCTTTTTCCAGTTAAATGTGCCTGTTGTGCTCATGACACATTATGTCATCGTTTCTTTCTTTTTTTTACAGATGGTAACTCTTTCTCTTCGGTGCATGCTTTTTAAAAATATTTTAGAACAAGCCTTTCTAAAGGCTTAATTTCCAAAATCTGATTTCCAAAATAAAAGTGGTTAACAGTTCAATAACACTTTTTTGATGTTACTAAATCATATAACTAACGTCCACAGTTCACATTACCTACGAATACCTTACAATATTAATAATACTAATTTAAAGTGTTAAGGAAATAGTGTGATCAAATGTATTAACATTGCTAACTGTAAACTGTTTCTTTGATTAGGTCGTATCTTGGAAGTGACCTTTAAATGTATGTGTAAAACAGATGTGTTTGGACAAGGGGTTTTTATGACAGGATGAGTGGAAGGATTTTACGATAAGGCGTTATCTGTATATCTAATTTGTTCTTTGTAGGGTGTGAGTTTTTGCTTACAGTGCCATGGGGTATCAGCTGGCCTCACCAAATGTTGTTTGTAATGTAAAGCTTTGATGTTTCACTCAGAACACTACGTGCTCTTTGGTGGAGACGTCATACTTGCAAGTATAAAAGATCTTTGATACCTTGAAT